AGCAGAGGACGTCGTCGCCCTCTGCTGCCCGCTCTCCCCTCTCCGACGATGCAGTCCCATGCGCGGTCCAACGAGTAAACTCCATCATCCCTGTTCGTGGTCCCACATCCACGTCTCCTTATCTCGATAGCTTCTTTTATCCATCTTTTGTATTTTTGTTGTTCGGTGTTTATGATCCTTGTGTTGTCCCACTCCGTTGGATAAACGGAGAAGGAAGTGGCGCCACCAACAGCGTCAGCCTGATGAAGTTTGCAGCCGCAAATGAAACGTTGCAGGTAAATAAAACCTGTGTTTTGAAAAGAACTAAAAGATGGAATTAGAATTTCAACACAGCAAGAACACACCAAAGAATGATTAATAAGTTAACTTATTTAAGATTTTAATGTTGTATTTTAAAGACAGAGATCATTTTGAAAAGCCCTGCGTGTGTTTGTAAAACTTGTCATGTTCCTGAAGGTTTCGGGTATTTTGGCTCCCTCACACGTAGATCTTCCACTACGCACCTAAAACTCAGGTATCATGCCATTTTAGTTCAACCATTAAAACACAAATCAACTATGATTAAACTAGGACAGATTTCAAGGCCAAAACACATTCACCTCCTGGTGCAGAGCAGCTGAACTCCACCTCCAGCAGAGGAGGCTTTTAACCTGAACATGTGGTTTAAGCAAGCAGCGGAGTGAGAATCCAGCAGATCCAGGACATGCCAAGGTTTTGCAAACAATGCTGAAAAGGAAACGCCCTTTATCCACATTATCCACCTGTACACATTTGGCAGAGCCAGGTACTGTATTTTGGGTTTGCATGAATGTTTGGACACATCTCACCAGCAGCACCTCAAACAAACAGAAGGCAGAGTCCATATTTGCTGTGATCAGGCTGTGTCGGTCATGGTGACACGCTCTGATGCTGATATAAAGACCTGGAGGAATGAATGTGCAGCAGGACGTTACTGTAAGTGTCCCAGGACAGGATCACTGATGTTGGAGTGTGTGTGTGTTCTTAGCGGTGAGGGGTTAAGCTGAGTGCATGAACACAGGGTGTAGCCTGATAGTGGTGAGTGATAACGGGTGGAGACCCAAGGTCTCACTGATGTGAACTGTCACACAAACATGTTCTTTCTTATCAGATACTGGGGAAGCTTTCAAGTCCTTCCTACTTGTTGAAATAAACAGAAAAATGTGTTAAAATAAAATAGATTTTGTTGTTTAACACATTTTTTCAGTGTTACGAAGGTTTATTCTATAAGTTACTAGGTAAGACCCTGGACAGATCACATGTCCATCACAGGACCACACACACACACACACACACACACACACACACACACACACACACACACACACACACACACACACACACACACACACACACACACACACACACACACACACACACACACACACACAGCTGAGGTCCGATTTTCTTGAACTGTGGGAGTAAACGGAGTATCCTGAGGTAATCACACACATTTATAGGAAAGCATGCGAACGCTGCACATAAAATCTAATGAGGATTTAAACCTGCAATTTTATTCCAGCGTGATAGTCATGCTTACCTAAACTGCTGCACCTAAACTGATCAGAAAACAGTCCTTAAAGAAATCTGAACTTAAAGGGGTGTGTTAAAATGCGAAAGAGGGGGTCACAAATGCGATGGTGGAGTTAAAATGGGTTTAATTGTTATAAAAGGTTCTAAAAACAAGTGCAAACAGAGGGCAAGCGTTATTAAGATAATGCAAAACAAAAAAACTCTCAAAAAGGTTAACATTAAAAGAGCAGTCACCAACATTAAAAACACCTGGCTGCTATAAGCTGAAAGGCTCCGATACTCTGGAGGGGCTGGTTGCAGAGCCACTGCTCCCCCAGCAGCAGCACTCTCTTACTCTCCCTACCTTCCTCATTTGTGATGTCACAATTATTCATAATTAACCCAAAAAATGTATTAAATATTAACTTAAAATGTTTATGTCAAAAAGACAAATCCTATACTGTTGGGTATTGTTTTATCTAATCAAATGGAAATAAATAATAAAAATGTTTTATTAAATCTCCACTCTTTTCTTTTGTCTTCATCTGTTTGCTGCAACCATCCTAGACTCAGATTGCAACGGCTTTATCATCAAGGTGAATATAACGACAGCATTTTTTCTTCCAAATTATGGTGGAAGACAAAATAAAGTTGCAAAAAGCAGAAATGCATTCAGTACACAAGCAGCAGAGATCCAAAGCAAATTTACTCACTTTTCCCTGAGCGCTCAAAGGAAGTAACTCTCAGTGTTCACAGCAGCTCTGCTCTAAGTCCTTGTTTGTGCAGACATTAAAAGTCTGAACTGTTCATCCCATCTTACACATTCATACAGTGTTTAACATCTAGTAAAGCCTTAAAGATGTTAGCTCTGACTTAAGTCATGTTCTGCAAACAGGCTTATTTGGACGTCTGTTTGGGATTTTCAAAAGGAAGATGTAACTGACCAGTTTTTGCTTTGCTGAGTCATACAATATGTTAACATGTTCTCAGAGATTAACACTGTGAAGATCCTTAAAGTCGTCCCTGAGTGTGATAACAGTACAGCGATGTTGAGTTTGACATAAAGTCAGAGGAAGCCATAGTTTCCTTTGGAAGAGTCCTGGAGGGTGCGTGGGAGTTCGCCCAATCAGTCCACATATACCTTCTGGATTTGTAGAAGGGGCTTGACCGTGTCCCTTGGGGAGCCCTGTGAGGGGTACTCCTGGAGTGTGAGCTACCAGGCTGCTTGATACAGGCTGTTAGGTTCCTGTATGACCAGTGTCAGGGCATCTGGTAGGATGCCTCCTGGACCTTGCTGAGGGTTTCTGGGTGTGTCCATCTGGGAGGAGGCCTAAAAGGTCAGAACCAAACAGGGTGAAACTGCTTTTTGCTATTATGCTGCACACAGATGAAATCAGCTTCCTCATGACCTTAAATGTGCCCCAACTCTAATAACTATTAAATCAAAACTAAAAACTTTAATGCATTCATCAGGCTTTGAATGAATGTTTCTTATGCTGCAGCTTCTGCACCGTAACTGCTCGCCCTTTAACTTGACCTTTTCTGATTGTTAAACCTGAATTAATTTGTGTATTTAATTTAATCTAAATTTATTTGTGTATTTTAGTTATGCTGTCATGTTGAGTTTGCCGTTCTTGCTCCTGGAAATCACACTGAGTTGCCTCTCTGTATGAAATGTACTGTATAAACGCCTAAAAGAAGACACAGTATCATTGGGAAGTTATTAAAGCACCAAACTGAAAAAACAATATTTAAAAATGCAGCAAGGTTAGAAATATGTAAATTAACATGGGGAAATGATCAGGGGCCTCATTTATAAAACTCTAAGTAGAATCCTTACTAAAACTCTACTTAAGCTCAGCAAAATAAAATTACTTATGCAAACTAATTTTCTATGTAGAACACTGCTTACACACAGCTGCATGCAGTTTCTGCTTAATGGATCACACCTGTCGTAGGAATGTGCTCAGGTGTTCCTGGATCACATCCCGCCTCTGGATCTACCATGAATGGACAAACTACGTTATGGATGTAGTGCATAAATATTAACAGGTTGATCTGCGGCATGTCATGGGTGACCATGACAACCAACACAGAGACCCAGGCGCTGGGGAATGATGTGGGCACGTAAAAAAATGTTTTGTAGCCTTCAAGTGGGACCGCGCTGCTGCAGCAGTGGGCTGTCGAGCTGCAGAGCAATCACTGCTGACCGACCAACATTAAAATAAGCAGTGGTCAGATGGAGCCGAGGGCAATCGTCATTGACACTATCGGTAAAGTGGTTCCTGATTGTTGGTTTTGTGTGTGCGTGCCTGAGGGTTTCTGCGTCTGACAAAGCCAGGGCTTTCATCTCCCACAAGGCCCCGGATAGAGAGCAAGTTTTGTTTCAATCCAAGAGTTTCAGGCCCTGTCCACACGTAGCCGGGGATCTGCCAAAACGTAGATATTTTTCTACGTTTTGGCCTGTCATCCACACGAAAACGGAGTTTTTTCACACGAAAACGGATCTTTTTAAAAACTCCCGCCAAAGTGAAGATCTGCGTTTTCTCCGTTTTGGGTGTCTGCGTGTGGACAGACAAAACTGGAGTTTTAAGGTCCGCAACGTCACTTTCCGCGACAAAAAAATGCTGACATCACGTGTGCAACCTGTGTTTACACTAGCCGACAGCATGGATGCCCTCAGAGCTGCGCTCGCTTTATCAATTGTCCAAGCGCTTTTTGCTTGTTTGTTTTTGCAAGCGGAATTACTGCTCCTTGCGGAAGACCACAGACGAAGGACGAGGTTAAGAACGGGGGAAGTACTGCCGCCTACAGGTCTGGCATGTCCTTAACAACATATTTATCCGGGTACGAGTGGACAGTTTTTTTTTAAACAAGGTGGTGTGGATGCAAGTTTTTGGAGGGGCGGATATTCGTTTTCAAAAAACCCCGGCTACGTGTGGACTAGGCCTCAGACAGACAACAAACATTTTTGAGAAAGCAGACAGAATTAAGATGTTAAAACAAGATTTTTCACTTGTTTAAAAGCTAATTTTTTTTATTTTTGAAAGAAAACTGTTTTGATTAAAACTAAATATAAATGATTAGATAGAAAATAAAGATTTTAAAGGTGAGTTTGGGATTCTTTTGATTAGTGTTTTGATAGCAGTTTTTAAATTGAAAAAAAGGATTAATAAAGAAACAAAATAATTTCCATAAAAGTTTTGTATTTATAAATCACTGTGAGAAAAGTCACTTCTGCAGATTTCAGACCCTGTTTTGTGCATGAGCAAGCTTTATAAAAGAGGTCTCTGCGGTGTACTCTTATTTTTACAAGAGTTACAAACATTTTGGAGGGTTTAGCTCAAAAGTTAGCGTGTGACATCATCACACGGATGTGAACGTAATAACAAATCCACAAAATGGGCAAATAGTAACAAATCATAGCTGCAGACTCCAGAGGCTTGTGCATTGATAAAAAAAACAATTAATAATTTCGTAGTATTTATTTGAATAAATTACATCGACTCATCACATTTTTTTATTGTTTACATCAAGCTGACAGTTTAATTCAGTGCAAGAATAAAGAAAAACAAAACAAAACACAAAAATATTTCAAAGACAGTCATGTGCAGCACAAAGAACCCCTCTCCCTCCAACATCACTTCTGGGTTAAATACTGTATATATATTTATATATATACACCTATACTGTATGTGTATACTTTACTCACAGTTACAAAAATAAGATACATTACTGTAGATGCGTGACTATACACACAAGGTGAAAACAAAACACACCAAAAAGCTGTACAGTCCTCACTGAGGGCAAAGATACACACGATTAAAAAAAAGTGAAAGAAGGAAGTTTGTTTTTGAATGAATACATGACCTGTTCACACTGAATCACTATTCTTTTGTCGACATAATGCACCTTCTGTTAGAGCGGTGCTTCCCCTCGACAAAAAAGTAACACTTAAAAGGTTTTGGGTTGGTTTTGCATCGTCTGCTGACTGGAATGAGCTGATGCACGTTTTAATGCTGAACACTGTCAGAAACAGTAACATCCTAAACACCTCAGCCCCTAGAAGGTGTGTGTTCCTGTGCAGAACACAAACACACGACACACACACCCTCCCCCCGGTAATACATGCATAACATTAACAAGATTGGCGGAAGCAAGAGTTTTACTGAGAGTTTAGTAAATGGTGATATGTGTGTGTATGCTGATTTAAACCGATGATCTGAGCTTTGGATTTTTTCTATTATCATCATAATCTGAAAACAATCCCACAAAACACTACAAAGGAAAAGGAAAGGGGTTTTTGTGTATAAACATCATTTTAGTTGCATCATTTAAAGAATGATTTCTGCACATTTTCTCAGATTTTCCACGTCCTCTTTTTACATCTAAGCTGCAGAATGTCAAACAGCAACAAAACAGTTTATAAAACAAAGTGTTGCTCCGATGTTCAGTTATGTCCTTTTAGGTTATTTCGTCACAAAAACCAAGTTTCATATTGAAGGAATAACATTTAAGCACAACTAATTTCTTTTAAAATGTTTAAAAATGTCCAATTTAGCTATTTAGGCCATGCCGTCACTTAACCGGGCCAGTCTCATGATGCTAGTTTTATTTTGACGAGTTCTCTTATCTAATTCCTAAACAGGACCAAAACGTGTCTTGCTGCATAGAAATTAAATGTTCCGATTGCTATTTGAAACAATCTATAACTTTAGTTAAAACTGCCGGATGTGGTTTCTGTGAGGGAATGCCTACAAATGAAATAAAAACTACCGTACTCAGTTTAACATCTTCACATAAGAAATAAAAAACTTAAACTACCTTTCCACCTAATAAACACGTGAATTTGTTTCATTTGTCTTTTCTTAGCATGTAAGAATAAAAGCTCCTATCTACTGTAGCGGCACAAACAGATGAAAAGTGAAATTTAGCTGCTTGGATAAACTCATGACGGACTGACAGCCAACTAAAACCAAGACAAAAGCAGAAACAGGGAAGCAAAAATGACAGAATACAGAAGCCTGGAGCTACTGAACCTCCTGGAATATCAGGGAAAGCAGATTTTTCCTCATTTTCATGAAACATTTCTACACTCATTTAGTGCACCTTATCACCATTATCCTCATTCACAGCTTTGTGTTTTTGCCTCATTTAAAGAGAAGTGAAGGAGGATTATTGGGAATATTTTAGGAAAAGCTCAGTGGGATTACTGAAACTGGAGGCCAGGATGTTTCTCAGCTCATTGTCTCGACGTCTTACTGGGGCAGCGGTACCAGGATGTCCACATAGTTGATGGGGAAGAAACCCGAGTTGCCGTGTAGCATCCCCTCGTACCAGTTGTCATCGATCTTATTGGTTAGGGTGATGATGTCACCCTCCTTGAAGCCTAGCTCACCTTCGTTCTCAGGGTCAAAATCATACAAGGCGCGACAGCTGGGCTGGTCCAGGGGAGCTGCAGAGTTAGAGAAGGAAAGGAGCTTCAGAGGAGGCTTTATGAGGTCCGATGCTGTTTATGGGTGACTAAGATGACATTAAAGGCTCACCTGGAGACCTGGCTGGAAGAGGGGAAGAAAAGAAGCAAAACATGAGCATCAGTGAGCATTTAAACATATTAGTGAAATACTTTTGTGTGAAAAAATTAGACCAGCAAGAACCAGTCTGTTTTGATTTGAGTCGCACTTTCCTCCACCGCAGTGAGTTTACAAAAGAACCAGAGACTCAGATCAGTCTGACCAAAGTTCGAGCCTCGGCCTTGGTAGAGAACTGGGTGTTCTTATTTAAATCCTCCTCTGAGCTTGGATTCAGCTCATTACTGCCCCTTGTGAGGATTAAAATGCAAATGTTGTCTTTCAGCAAGTTTGACATTTTAAAAGGTAATATTTTGAATTCTTGGACACAAATCCTTTGCAGCCCATAATCACCTCATACCCGGAGCCAAGGAGCAGAAAACCCCTCCAGAGGACTGGCTGCAGCTTACTGCCTGTTTTTAGGCCTCAGCTCAACAAAATCTAACAAAGATGAAACAGTTACTGCTTTCAATGGTTATTATGGACACATTTTCAGCAGTTAGTACTGTTGTTTTAAAGTGATTTCCCACTTGAAACTGTACCGGGTGACTGTGATATTTGAAACTATTGACACAGCATTCCAGACATGAGGCGACAGATGTGAGGGGGCATTGGTTAAACTTCCATCCTGCAGATTACAGTCAGATTTTAAGTATTTTTTGTTGTTGTTGTAAAGCAAGTAAAATATTAAAATATGTTTATAGGACTGCCGTTATAATTACTTGAGATAATGAATATCAGTTAGATAAACAGTAACACAATCTACATGTATCGAATCAGGTATGACACATCTACAGTTTGCTTTGATGGACATTTCATGTTCTAGACTTTTGTTTTTCGTGTGAACTTCCTGGAACTCACATAGTAAAAGCCTGACTTCACCAAAGACGGATGTAAGTGCTTTCCCACTTGTTATGTTTCTAAATTCACATGAATTTTTCATGAATGTAAAAGTTTTCCTTGTTTCTTATAAGGTTTGTGAGTCACTCGCTGCCATTGTTAAAGGGAATATATTACGCAAAACTCATCTTTTTCATCCCCATATGCTGCCTCGTGGATCTTTAGTTCCAAATGAGAAATAAATCATCCATGAGCTCAAAATGAGCCCAAAAGGTTTGTGACATTACAAACGGGGAAAAGAAGAATAGAATCTCCTCTCATGTGAAGGAGACCTGTTGCTAGAAGAGCAGCGGCTCTACTCCAAGCCCATCCTGGATATCAAAGCTCCCCAGCTTATAGGGAGCCTATCTGCTCCCTTTTCCCATCGGCTCATGGGTCTCCAGAAGAACTAAAAAAATGAATGCAAGTCAATGGGGTTAAAAGAGCAATTTTTGAATCCGCTTTGCCTCACGCCCTGAATCGCACATACGTTGTATTTCTGTTTAAACGCAAAAGTTCGTAATTATCGTAACTGCAAATCAAATATCAGCATGTCGCATATATGACGTCACCACAGAATTTTCTCTCCTCTAGCTGCTACTTACCCCATGGCAATATTTACAGTGGTTCTTTCCTCCTGAAGGAGGAGTTTGAAGTTCGCTGTAAGCACATCTATTTTCCCTCTGCTTTTCTCCATGTCTGATTTGATGATGTCACTTTGGTAATGCGCATTTGGTCCTGGACGTACGGTATTTTCACAGAAAACCTAAAATAATGTTCAACAATAAGCGCGTTCTTGGTCTCAAAATGCGTATTTGAAATGCACGGACATCATGTGAAATCCATGGCACAAGACAATTGGAATCAGAAAATAACTTGCATTAATTTTTTCGTTCTTGCTGGGACTGATAGTCCAGAGGTAGATGGGCATGACTTAGGCTCTCTGTATCAGCCACAAGAAGGATGTGTGGGCGTGGCCAGCTCTAGTTCATTTTCTTAAAGTGACACTGCCCTGAAAAAGCTCATTTTGGAAGGTAACGCAAGAATAAAATAGCTGAAATTGCTATATGAGAAGGATTTAGTGCCAATAATGGCATAAACATGCTTTGTTTTGACTATAGAACTACTTCAACTCATAGTATGTTCCCCATAAAAAAGTAATGAAATATGCTGATCAAACCCTTAAAGGTGTGGTTCACTGAAAAAACATGTTGAAATATCATTTCTGATTATAATCAGCCCATCTGAGTTTTTCAAGCAGGCTGAACATGAAAATAGTCTCCTACACCTTTCTCCTGCATTAGCTCCTGATAGAAAATAGACTGTGAAACGCTAGGGTTAGAGTAGCCAGACAGATCTACATCGCACTGTCACTTAACACTCATGGGCAGGGAAGGCTGTTTTTGTTTTAGAGTCCTGGAAACAGCAGAAAACTTCTGTACCAGTAGAAGCTAACTGTTAGCATTAGCAACCCCACCGCACAGCAGAACTAGTTCAGGTTTGTGTTTCTGTAGAGAGAAAACATCAATGTTGCAAAGCAAAAAGAGCCAGTGGTAGAGTCACATTGCTGTTAACCAATCAGAGGAGAGATATCTAAATATATATAAAAAAAGACTCCATATCCTGCCGTCTGAAGCTCATCTCTGACCTGGCTCACTGCTAATTCCTGAAGCAGGCGAGTACAACTTACAAGCCATTCATTCCTATAGAGACCACTGCAAATATGTTGCTTAAACGAGAGAACCACACCTTTGAAACAAATCCTAAGCTTTTTAATTTGTATTTTAATTAGATATTACTGTATTTAGTTCAATATCATTGAAACTGTTAGCGTTTTGTGCTCTGGGACACATTTTCGGTTGAAAAAAGGGATTCGAGTCCATGATGGCATAAAGAGGTGTGTATTTTTAATGACCCAACTTGGTCTCAGGGGACAGTAATGAGCTGATAGGTGATTTACGCAACATAAAGAGACAAGGACAAAAACACAAAGGGAACAACACAAGGGTAAAAAATGGTATTATTCCTTTAGCATCAGACTGCATTGATCTGGTTAGTATGTTATAGAACATATTAACAAATAATAAGCACAACAAAAAGAAAAATGTAAAGAGACACATGGTTTAGAACAAAGACGTCACTGAACTGAAACAAAAAAAAATACATTAAAACACACACTATTCATCCAACAAGGATAAAAGTAAGAGTGATTGAGACATTTTCATCTCTTCCCAAGTCACTCTCACTCACCTGGAGATCTTGCTGCAAAGGAAAAAGGAGAAAACATTGGTGAAAAAGAATAATGAATTCAGAGATCAGAGAAACGATGAGCTGATGCACAAACACGCACAGAAGTGACGGGTTTAGTGGAGGAAAATGTGAGCGAAGAAACTCAAGCTGGACGGCAAATTGAAAAAACAAGCTGACAAACAAAGAAACAGGAGGAGAAGAGCAGATCAGAAAAACAAAGGCTCGTCCACTGGAGAAACGTTTTGGTGTCATGGTCAATCAGGTGTCCTTTATACCACAAGCAGACGACGTCTTTCTGACTGTTTTATTTGAAACATTGATGATTAACATGTTTCTGAGAGAAAGATAAAATCAATCAGTCTTGTCTCACCTGGAGACTTGGCTGCAAAGGAGGAAAACAGCACGAGGGAAGGAGAGGGAGGTGGGGGAGATGAGAGAGGCAGAGGGGGAGGCGTGAGTTTTTGAAAATGGAAGTGTGTTGTTGAAGAGATGAACTGGTTAGCACACAGATGTGGAAACAAGTTTGACCGGGCTCACCTGGAGACCTGGCACCTACAGGAATGAGGAGAAATCGTAACAGGACAGAAAAGAGATGCATTTGTTTTATTCTGATGCATAAAAGCTTAAAAACATGCTGGAAAAGCCAAAAAAGGAAAGAGCAAATAATGGATGAGCTGTAAATTCTCTGGATTAGTCTTTCTCTTTTAGACAGAATTAAGACCATGTTTGTTTACAACCAAACCCTGTTTAAATTCTGTCCCTTGGGTCATTTTAAAGTTACAGTGTGTACTTTCCTGACACTAGGGGGCAATTCATACATACATTTCAGGGTAGTTTTACACCATGTCGCTGTGACTGTTGCTAGTTTACAAAAACGTTACGGTAACTGTTTTCTGGAGCTGTAGTTTCTGGATCTGCTCACGGTCCTGCGCCTGCCGATGATGTCATCAATATATGGCAACACCATGTGGCCAAAATGCATTGCATCCCTTTTTCAATTCTGTTTTTTCACATAGAGGTTGGAAAGAGTTAATCATTTTCATGTTTCTTGTTTTGGAACGCGGTAACATAACTTCCATAAGTCATACGTCCAGCCAATCATCTAGCGTGATGTCATCAACAGGCGCAGGACACCGAGTCGGCTAGAAGGAAACTTGGTGTCTAAGATAGCGTCCCCCAAAGTCGTTAGACCTGCACACTATGTACTTTAATGGTTATTTGTTACAAAGTCACCAATGTTTTTCAAAAACAAAACATAATCTGTATAATTTTCTAATTTACATTGTTTCATTGTTTATAAAAAACATGCACCCCCGGACATAGTTTCTAAGTTCATTTCTTTAATTTTATTTTTCTTGTTAATGGCTGTTTTCCTGTTTTAATTGTTTATTCATGTTAATAGTCTGTCTGTCATGGTTTTTAGTAAATAGCGAGTTGTGGTTTCTATTTGAGAATTTACAGTAAAAAAGAGTGAAATAAATAAATGAGGATTTCACAAAAGTAGTCCACAAACTGCTCTTCTCATACAAATGCTATTTGTGACACTTTGTGGTTCCCCAGATGATGTGGTCACAACAGTTTGTGGACATGCTTTCTAACTAAAAGTGTTGTTTTTTTTCTCTCACCTGGAGAGCGAGCTCCATGGAGTCCTCCGTTCAGGTTCTCACTGATACACAGGTCCAGAGAAGTACGTGGTTTTGGGATAAACTCTTTCCTTGGTTTGTTGGAGGAATCCCTTATTCTACAAAGAAGAAGATGCCAATTAAATCCTCAGAGCAACAGTTTAAAGTACCTAGAAACCTAGAAATCTAGATCAACCACCGCAGGTCTAAGCATGCTTCATAGTAGCCTCAGCAGGTCTACTATTAGCCTGACACGTTTTATGTCTTGCCAATCACAGCGCTCTACAGTATGTTCTGTTCTTCTGTATCAAAACTGATGTTTCAAACCTGTAATAATCATCACGGAATTTCATTAATGTGCATTTTTGTCATTATTTCTGGATAAAGCTGTTGGTACTGACCGTTCATCAACCTTACTGGAGAGCTGTGTGAGGATTTCAGCAGCGCGGGAGTGATACTGAACCTGAGCATGGACTAATGCAGCCAGCTGGCTCACTTGTTCAATCTGTCGACACCAACAGGATATTTTACACATCAACTCAACAGTCAGAAGGTTTGCTGGTTAACTCATTCACTGCCAATGACGACTAAAGTTGTCGTTTGCATTTTTTTACTGTTTGAGCATCGGAACGAGCCCCCGCGCTGAGAGAACAAACATCTCAGGCCTGAAGCAAAATCCGCATACGTCACAGATCACATGATCAGGAAGCAACACATCCATGTGTTTGGAGATCGTTTTGGGCCGTTCCTGTAAAAAAAGTGAGGCGCGAACCGGAAAAGCGTCTGCCGATCACAATTCGACAACGGATTATGAAAGAACGGATAATGCTCGAAACACGCAGCTTCTTCCTGATGTAAGAGGTGAGTCTCCTATTTGTTTTGGTGTTTTTGGCGTCGACATCATGCTAGCGCGCAACGTTCTGTGACTCTTAAAAAAACAGTAAAAACGGTGAGAAACTGGCAGCGAAGGCCGTTAGCGATCAGGAAACGGCTGGCAGTGAATGAGTTAAAATGTAAAATAAACAGGTAATTTGGACATTCAGGTGATTAAATGTGACTTCTGATTGAAATGCTGAGTACCATGGATGACCACTAGAACCCATTCCACACACACAAGGTTGGGCAGGTTAAACAAATATAACAAAATGAGAATTATTCATGAGGAACAACGTCTGTAGAACTACTGCTCAAAATCTCAGCACGCACCTTCAGTATAAAGTGAAGTGGTTAAAACTTTTGGACAGTGCAGTGAAACACTCACATCACTCTCCAACAAGTTGAACATGCTCTGCTCAGCGATCTCCTTGGAGTCATCAAACTTCTCAAGCGCTTGTTTGAGCTCGTCGTCGGTCAGTTTGCCCTGGCGTTTCTTCTTGTAATCAAAGTCCAGACGGCGACCCTCCAGTTTTTTCAGATGGTGCTAAATAAATGTCAGTGTTATATTTAAAGTTAGAATATGGTACGTTTTAATAAAAAGCTGTATTTAAAAAAAAAAACAGAATAAAAATTTTATTTTGGCAGGCATGACACTGGGTTCATGTTTACGGCTACCAGCCACTAGAGGGCACCTTTGCACTAAAAAGTCTGCTCACCAAGGCGAGGCTGTGACTGTGTAAAATGGCAGACGTGACAAGTCAAGCAGCTGATTCTGAGCCCACAAGATGTTCCAATGGTAAATCCTTTTGTAAAATAAACATATTAGTAGAATTGCTTATCCTGTACGATTTGTCACTGAACATGGTGCTGGAACATGTCAACACCCAACATCCCAACAGCTGGAAAATACTTCTGTTGTTGCGATACCACCCCTGAACACTAGAGTTCAGCAGTGTCCGTGTTCCACATTCAACCTTTAAGATCAAGCCTGATAATAATGACAGTTTTTGTTTCACAGTAAACCACCACCCTTGTACCTGAATCTCCTTGATGTCTTTTTCGTGGAGGCTTTGCATCGGGTCAATGAAGTTCTGCTTCACCTCCATGTCCAGAGCGTCCTTGACCTCGCCCAGCTCACGCATGGCCTCTCCAACGTCAATCAGAGCAAGACCTGAAGGAAAACATATATTTAAACACAAAAATCACACTAATAACTCTTTAATGTCATTGCATGCTTGGAAAAGGAAACATTTCTGACAGCTGACCATAATCTCTGCAGATTATGTTTACTTTATTCACTAAAATGCAAGGTAAACTGCAGGTATCCAAGACTCCGTTACTGTGACCTTGAGGGGATAAAAATATGCCAGTTTGTTGTTTTACAGTGGGTAGGAAGTGCTGATGTGAGTGTTTATTTGAAGCTTCATAGGTGTATTATGTAAGAATGAAGTAAGAATGACACCCTGTGGTCAAATTTGGGTACTGCAGCCCATTTTCAAAACACACAAATGACTTTTTCACTCCTTGCTATTGACAACTATGGAGCTGCACCAGAAGATAGGGTTAGGGTTAGTGTTAGTGTCCATTAGTGAGGACGAGGCCTACACAGTAAGTTAACAGGTAGAAAAATACATTTCACTGTAATATTGAGTTGCTGGTAATTGAAAAAAGTAACTTGAGATACTTTTAGAGATGGCTAATTGTTTCTAATTTACCGTTAGCATTGTTAGCTCAATGCAGGGGTGTGACCAAGTCACTGCTTTGCAAGTCACAAGTAAGTCACAAGTCTTTCCAGTCAAGTCTTGAGTCAAGTCCAAGTCAAAGACAACCAAATCAAAGTCGAGTCCAAAGTCGATGTGGAAGTCAAGTCCAAGTACTTAACTTTGAATTGTCAAGTCATAATCAAGTCATCTGTCCAGCTTCAATTCAATGACAATGATAATAAATAAATTCCAGAAATAAACCTTCTTAAAACTTAATTTATTTACTCAAACAAGCAGAAAGTGCAACTGAAACTGATTATAAACAAAGTGCTGCTGCATTTAGCAGAACAAGATCACACCCAGAACGAAGAAAGGTTTATGAGTTTTGTCCATGTCGGGCCACTTTTGTGCTAAAATATCAAATATGCTCAAGTCATCATCAAGTCAACAGATGCAAGTTGATTCAAGTCGCAAGTCATTGGCGTTCAAATCTGAGTCAAGTCGTAAGTCTTTATAGATTTTATAACGTCAAGTCAGAAATCATTAAAACAATGACTCAAGTCTGACTCGAGTCCAAGTCATGTGACTCGAGTCCACACCTCTGGCTCATCGTTAAGCTCAACATCAGTCTCTAGCCTTCTTTGCCCGATATTAGAGTAAAACAAAAACCTGCCGGGGCTTCTTAGGGGTAAGAAATAACTTCTGGTTCGTTCTTTACAAAACACTGCTGCGCTTTGCTAGCCAGTCTCGAATTACAAATGCCGGTGCTGCGGCAGCAGCTAGCACAGACTCAACCATCCCATTGGCTCACAGATTGTAAACAAAGACTACGTTCTGTTTTGGGCCTTTTTGAAAGGAGAAAAACTGATAAGCTGCCAGCCAGCTGTTTCAATGCAACCTTTCTTCCAGACTAAGACATTAGTTTTTGTTTTGTGATTATGTCACTATAAAATTCTCACATATTGTACCTTTAAGGCACAGCAAACTCACCAAAGTTAGACTCCTCTCCGAGCTCCCTGCCAAACCTCTGCATGGACTCTCCCAGCAAGGTCTCGGTCTGAGTGTAGCCCGGTCCTTTCTCCTGACCTCGCATACGTGACATGGAGTTCATCATGCTCATCTTAGCTCTGGTGGCTGCAAACACAAATATAGCTATATGATTTAATAAAAACACCTGCGTTCTGTTTACCTATGATTTATAGTTGTTATCCAGAGAAACTTAAAATTAATCTAAATAAAGATATAATTAGATTGAGGCATTCACTCAGCTGTACTTTCAGCATTTTGGTCAAAATTCAGCAGGAAGACTTTCATTTAAACATAAAACGAAGAAGGAAACAACAAAGTAGGTAAAATCAAAGTTGTATTTCCACAGTTTAAAATGTTATTAAAGTTTTCTTAAAAACTGTAAGACCTCATAGGACACTTTACAGATGTAGCCCTGACCTTTGGCCTTATGATTATTAGAAAGGCTTAAAATGAGCTTATGACACACCTCAAAAACCTATCATGGACTATAGAGGACTATAAACAGGTCTTAAACATGACCAGAATCATCTGAGGCTTGTTATAGACCACTGTGCATGAGCCAAGTGCAATAATTTCCCACAACTGTCGTCTCTTAGAGGAACTATGAGAGTTCTGCAAACACAAAGGGTATGTGTGGACTCATCTGTTCATCTACAGTTGTTATAAAGGATGTCAATCTCTTGGTAAAAAGTAGAATAGAAATGTGTGAGCCCAGTCATGAAGCTCCTCTGGTTACCTGGGTTTGGCTGCAGATACTCCGTGGTCTTTGTTATGATGTCCATAACTGCTCGAGACGTGGAGTCCACCTTCTGTAAAATCCAAACACATAAAACAAACTTAAATAATAAACAACAAATCCAAATGTTTAAAGGAGACAGCTGTAGAGATCATGAAGCAGGTCCCCTTGTTAAGACCATATGCTGGTGCGATTGGTCCTGGGTTTCTCCGAATGCCATATAATGCTAGACCAGATGTCGAGTGTGTCAGCAGTTCTTGCAAGACGAAGCCATTGATGTTACAGACTGGCCCGTCCATTCCCCAGATCTGAATCTAATTGAGGACATCTGGGACATCATTTCTCGCTCCATCCACCAACGCCACATTGCTCCACAGACTGTCCAGAAGTTAGCAGATGCTTTAGTCCAGGTCTGGGAGGAGATCCTTCAGGAGACCATCCTCCACCTCATCAGGAGCATGCCCAGGTGTTGTAGGGAGATCAAACAGGCCCAAGGAGGCCACACACACACTACTGAGCCCCATTCTGACTTGCTTTCAAGACATTACATCAAATTTGGATCAGCCTGCGGTGTGTTTTTCTGCTTTAATTTTGAGTGCGACTCCAAATCCAGACCTCCTTGGGTTGATACGTTTGATTTCCAGATATTTTTGGTGCTTTTGTTGTCAGCACATTCAACTAAGCAAAGAACAAACTACAGGGTGAGCCATTTATATGGATACACCTTAATAAAATGGGAATGGTTGGTAATATTAACGTCCTGTTTGTGGCACATTAGTATACGTGAGGGGGCAAACTTTTCAAGATGGGTGGTGACCATGGTGGCCATTTTGAAGTTGTCCATCTTGGATCCGAGGAAGAGGGTCATGTGACACTTTAAACATTTTGGGAATTTTACAAGAAAAACAATGGTGTGCTTGGTTTTCACATAACTTTATTCCTTATTGAGTTATTTATGAGTTTCTCTTTGTTCACAGCCATTGACATGTCGAAGAGGTAAACACATGAGGAGCAGATCGATATTGTGTTGATACCTGGTGAACGCAGTAACCGGGTCATTGCAGCAGATTTAAGTGCAAGACACCCTACAAGACCACCCATCTCCCATTCTACAATTAGCAAACTGCTTTCTAAGTTTCATGAAACTGGTTCAGTGTAGGATTTGCCAGAATGTAGACTCATTAAAACAGTCATGAATGAAGAAACATCAGTGGCTATCCTAGCTTCATTCAGCAAGTGCCCACAGCGTAGCACTCACCGCATGTCACTGGAGAGTGGCATTAGTCGTACATTCTTTCGGCGGATATTAGCTACTTACAAATGGCACCCTTACAAACTCCAGCTACTGCAGCATCTCAGCAAGGATGACCCAGATCGGCACACAGAATTTGCAGAATGGGCAAAACAAAAATTGGAACAGGACCCTCAGGTCACGCAGAAGATTTTGTTCAGTGATGAGGCAAACTTTTATGTGAATGGTGAAGTTAACAAACAAAACCACCGCTATTGGTCTGACACTAACCCACATTGGATAGATCCCTCCAAGATCTTTGGAGCAAAAAAAAAAAAAAAAAAAAAAATTGATGGTATAGTGTGGTATATGGGGTACAAAGATAGTGGGGCCATTCTTCATCAATGGAAACCTCAAGGCCACTGGATATTTGAAAATGCCAATGATGATGTGTTTACCTCTTTATGCACTGAAGCTGGCACATTCCCTGAGCTTTTCAGCAAGAAGTTGCACCACCACATTATGGGTGTCAGGTCCGAGCATTCCTAGAGGGAACAGTCACCTGGAAAGTTGATTGGTCGTCGTGGGCCAGTTCAATGGCCCCCAAGGTCTCCCGATCTGACCCCCTTAGACTTTTATCTTTGGGGTCATCTGAAGGCAATTGTTTATGGTGTGAAGATATGAGATGTGCAGCACCTGAAACTACGGATACTGGAAGCCTGTGCTGGCATTTCTCCTGCAGTGTTGCTATCAGTGTGTGAAGAGTGGGAGAAGAGGGTTGCATTGACAATCCAACACAATGGGCTTGTAAATACACAAAACTTGTAAATATCTCAAAAAAGAATAACGTTACATTAAATTCAAGCACACCATCATTTTTCTTGTGAAATTCCCAAAAAGTTCGAAGTGTCACATGACCCTCTTCCTACTGAAAAAACAAAGTTGGATCCAGGATAGTCGACTTCAAAATGGCTACCATGGTTACCACCCAACTTGAAAAGTTTGCCCCCTCACGTATACTAATGTGCCACAAACAGGACGTTAATATCACCAACCATTCCCATTTTATTAAGGTGTATCCATATAAATGGCTCACCCTGTATAAGAATAGTTCATTCATTTAGATCTAGGATGTCTTATTTTTGTGTTCCCTTTACTTATTTGAGCAGTGTGTAAACCCTCGAACACATCAGAACATCAACATTATTACACAAGGTTGCAAAATTAAAGCTCATCTAAAAAACATAACAAAACAGCATGTGAGACATTTCATATATCCTATTTTCATAAAGCATCTTTATCAATGCAGCTTATTAGTTTATGTTAAAGGTTTTATTTTTAGTTGAATGACCAAAAGGTAATTAGAATAAGCCATTTCTGCAAACCTTTGATTATATTCTGTGCAAACCAGCTGTTTGTGCTCTGTATGGAAATGCATTAGTAAAACTTGACTGGAACCACTTGGGTGTGATGAAAATTTTCAGTTTTAAATGTTAATAAGAACTCAGCTCAAGCATTTTCATAGCCTAAACCGACAGATCTGGACCTCATTCTGGAATGGGAGGAAAACCATTCTGACATGCCTTTTCCATGTCAGTGAAGTCATCATCGAGCTTCGTTCCTTCTGCTCCTCCGACCTTCTCGCTCACTCTCTGCAAAACAAAACAAATTTGAAACTAAATATATAATCAAAATATCATATTATTCAAAAGTTGCAGTGCAAATGTTTTTTAGAATTCTCAGGGATGATATTCTGCAAAAAAGATAACAAAAAAACATTCTAGATCTAATCAATCTATCCTTACCATACCATTACCATACCATTTTATTTATAAAGCGCATTCAACATGGCATTACAACCAGACAAGGCGCTGTACATTAAAAGATTACAGTTAAATTAACACGTTCAGAATGACATTTAAAGCATAGTTTATAAGAAAAAATGAAAACAAGAAAATACTCGAACTAACAGTCGTAAAACACTAAAAACGCAAAGGAATGTGAAACAACAGATAAAAACATATGAAAGAACCACAGTAATACAGATGTTAATTATTGTGCATTCTATTGTAGAAAGAATGCAGATGTCGAAAGTGGTCCATGATTATGTATTATATGCAAGGTTGAAGTAGTGAGTTTTCATGCGAGATTTAAAAATGCTAATTGTTGGTGCTTGCCTCACTAGTAGTGGTAATGCATTCCACAGCTTGGGAGCACAGACAGAGAAAGCCCTTTCTCCACGGCTTTTCAGACGTGCGTTTGGAAGAGCTAGGAGGAGCTTATCCTCAGACCTGAGAGCACGAGGCGGATTGTAGTAATGGACGAGTTGACACAGATATGGAGGAGCTTGACTGTTCAGGGATTTATAAGTGAGCAGCATGATTTTGAAATTGATCCTGAGATGAACGGGCAACCAGTGGAGAGATTTTAGAATTGGTGTAATGTGCTGTCTTCTGTCAACTCCAGTCAGGAACCTAGCTGCTGAATTCTGGACTAGCTGAAGTCTAGATTGAGCTGCTTTACTGATGCCGTATAAGCAGGAGTTGGAGTAATCCAGCCGTGAAGTGATGAAAGTGTGGACTACTGATTTGAGAAGACGGACACTCAGGATGTGCTTAAGTTTAGAGATACGCCTGAGGTGGTAAAAACATGATTTAACTGTGTTATTGACCTGAGCATCCATCTTCAGAGCCTGGTCTATTTTAACTCCAAGGTTGGAAATTACAGTGGAGACATTAGGTGAGAGATAGTTGAGGTCAGGTTGAAGAGTAGCCGGGATGCTGTGAGGATTAAAAACGATTACTTCTGTTTTGGAGTCATTCAGATGGAGGAAGTTATCAGCAAGCCAAAGCTTAACATTATCGATACAATCAGACAGAACTTGCATTGATTGAGTTGGCTTGAATGAAAAGTAGATCTGACAGTCATCAGCGTAAAGATGGTATGAGACAGCGTGCCTTCTGAAAATGGCTCCTAAGGGCAGTATATAGAGGTTAAATAGTAACGGGCCGAGTATTGAACCTTGTGGGACACCCCAACGGAGTGGTTGTGACTCGGATGAACAGCCATCCAACATGACTCTAGCGGACCTGTTATAAAAGTATGACCTGAACCAATCTAGGGCTGAACCAGAAATGCCAGCCCAAGTCTGAAGTCTGGTGATCAAGATGTTATGATCGATCGTGTCAAATGCTGCTGATAGATCCAAAAGTAGCAGAACCACATGGAAACCTGAATCTAAAGCAAGAAAAATGTCATTAAACACCCGAACATGAGCAGTTTCAGTGCTGTGCTGTTTTCTGAAACCAGACTGAAAAATGTCCATTACCTGATTGTCATTTAGATGTGTCAGCATCTGTTCATACACTATTTTCTCAAGGACCTTAGATAAAAACGGTAATTTGGAAATTGGTCGGAGATTAGAGTAATCAGTGGGGTCGAGACCAGGTTTTTTCAAGATTGGCTGAAGAACGGCGTGTTTAAAGGCAGAAGGAACTTCAGCCAATGTCAAGCTACTATTTAAGATGTCTAGCACATTATGGCTAATGAAAGGAAAAACCTCTTTCAGGAGACGTGGTGGGATAACATCTTCTGGGGAGCCAGACGGTTTCATGGCAGCAACAGTTTTTTCTAGATAGGGCAGAGAGATGGGCTGAAAGCTTTGAAGTTGCACATGAGGGGGAATGACTGAATCAGGAACATGGTTGGTTTGGTGAATCTGAGCTCTGATTACACTAATCTTATTTAAGAAAAACTGCAGGATTTGGTTACACAAGTCAGCAGACGCAGAGGAAAATAGTTTTGTAACTGGTGAAAGCACTGCATTCATAGTTTTATATAACACACCTTGATTATTAGAATTAGCCGTTACAATGCTTGCAAAAAATCGATTTCTTGCGCCTCTGACTGCTCTTTGGTATCCTTAGTAAATGGATGTGTACCACAGGATTTTAAGGTTGCTGTAATCAAGCCTTCTCTGGATCCAGATGACCCGATGAATTATAGACCAATATCTAATCCAAAAGTCCTGGAGAAAATAGTGGCCATCCAAGTATGTGAGCATTTAAACACTAATGCTCTGTTTGAGGAATTTCAGTCTGGTTTTAGAGAGTATCACAGCACTGAAACTGTGTTAGTGAGAGTTACAAATGATACTCTCATGGCCTCAGATAAGAATCTTGTGTCTGTTCTAGTCTTGTTAGATCTCAGTGCTGCCTTTGACACAGTTGATCACAATGTTCTTTTAGAAAGACTTGAACATGTTGTAGGGATCAAAGGAACAGCGCTAGGCTGGTTTAAATCCTACCTGTCTGACAGATTTCATTTTGTAAATGTACATGACAAATCGTCTTCATACTCCAGGGTTACTTGTGGAGTACCACAGGGTTCAGTGCTTGGACCAACTCGTTTAACTATATATATGCTCCCAATTGGTAAAATCATTAGACAGCATGGGATGAACTTCCACTGTTATGCTGACGATACTCAGTTATATTTATCCATTAACCCTGATGAACCTAATCGGTTAGGTAGATTACAGGCTTGTCTTGAGGACATAAAAAATTGGATGACTCTAAACTTTTTGCTTTTAAATCAAGACAAGACGGAAGTTCTCATCTTTGGACCAGAAATCCAGAAAAGGAAATTGCTTAGTCAATCACCTGACCTGAATGGCATTACATTAATCTCCGAGAAAAAAGTAAGGAACCTTGGTGTTATCTTTGACCAGGACATGACATTCAAATCCCAGGTTTCACAAGTTTGTAGGATTTCCTTTTTCCACCTTCGGAATATTGCTAAGATTAGAAGCATCCTTTCCAGGAGTGATGCTGAAAAACTAGTTCATGCATTTATTACATCAAGACTGGATTACTGTAATTCATTACTCTCAGGAAGTCCACAGAATGTAGTTAAAAGTCTTCAGCTTGTCCAAAATGCTGCAGCTAGAGTTCTGATGAGAATTAAAAAGAGAGATCATATCTCTCCTGTCTTAGCTTCCCTACATTGGTTACCTGTTAAATTCAGAATAGATTTTAAGATCCTTCTTCTCACATATAAAGCTCTTAATAATCAACCTCCATCATACATCAGTGATCTGATTGTTCCATACGTTCCTAACCGAGCACTTTGCTCTCAGACTGCAGGTTTACTGGTGGTTCCCAGAATATCTAAAATTAGGATGGGAGGCAGATCTTTTAGTTATCAGGCTCCTCTCCTGTGGAACCAGCTCCCAGCCTTAGTCCGTGAGGCAGACACCTTGTCTACTTTTAAGACTAGGCTTAAAACATTTTTATTTGATAGGGCCTATGGTTAAAATCTGATGTTAGCCTAAATCTGGACAAGTGGGGGAGTAGAGGGAGGTGGAGTGTACAGTCGGTAAAGACGGCTCTCCCTTGCCCTGCCTCCAACATGCCTCCATCTAAATAGGATAGATTATCCTGAGTTTTCGCTGTAGTTATGCTGCTATAGGCTTAGACTGCTGGAGGATAATCTGACCACTTTTCACACTCTACTACTTTCTTCTACAATTTGCTCTTTAACTGTATTATTTTCTGCAATTTCAGCTGTTAACTTTATTTTCTCTCTGTTTTTCTCCCCAGAAGAAGCCACAACGATGTTCTGCTGAGCTGTGGTGGCCTCATGGAGGGGGCCATCGTCTAGCACACTGCTGCTAACCACTAAAACATTATCCCTCTCCTGATAATAACTTTTTACTCTCTTTGACATTGAATGTGCTACTACTAGTTTACCAGTTTAATTATAGATCCACTAGGATAAATACAATAAAGTTTATCTCTCACCAAATAGAATATTTACTAAGAAATCACAATATAACTATAGACACATTACTTTGTGTGTGTGTGTGTGTGTGTGTGTGTGTGTGTGTGTGTGTGTGTGCCTGCTCTGTCTTCTCGATCCCCAGTGAGTCGTGGAGGATGGCTGCTTATACTGAGCCAGGGTTCTCTGGAGGTTTCTTCCTGTTAAATGGGAGTTTTCCTCTCCACTGTCGCTTTATGCTTGCTTAGTATGAGGATTGCTGTATAGTCACTGACACTAGTCAGTGACTTGATGCAATTTGCTGGGTTCCTTATATAGGAAACATTATTTCTGATTGGCTTAATGAACTGACCTGAATTGGAATGTTTATTATGTGAAGTGCCTTGAGACGACTCTTGTCATGATTTGGCGCTATATAAATAAACTTGAATTGAATTGCCTTTATTTATGTTTTCATTTAACCTGAAGTGGAATTCAGTTTTGTTTCAAGATTTTCAAATGAAAAGTCAGATAGAAGAAAATTGCTATTTTTGGGTTTTAATCTAATAAGAGAACAATTTACTTCAAGCACCTGCTTTATTAGCTCCTTCTACTAAAATTAACACGGTAAGGTTTCCTGACATCATTTCTGAGTCTGAAGATCAAATAAATCTGTGCTGCTAACATGAGCCATTAAAGCTGCAGATATGGAACAGAACCACACACTGAGACACAAACAGAAAAAGCTCCTGTCCCCTCCCTCTGAGCTGATAATGGTGCCTGAAATCCCATCATGCTGCCCTAACGTGGTGTGATATCACCAGGCACCTTGAGGGGGCAGCAGTCGGACACACCAAAGCCACATGCTGGCTTTCGGGGAATGTCACATTGCACG